CATTAACTTACTGGTGAGCTCACCTTCAGTATGAGAACCAACCTTTCAATGTGACTGTGCATGTGTATGTACGTTTATGTGCACGACATAGCATTGGTGCTCTGACTGTGATTCACTGAGAATGATAATTTGGCTGAGAGGATTAAATTATGAGACTTAAGCTAATTTGCCACATTAAGTATTAAGTCAAGATTCCAGTGTGCTGTCACTTCAGTGAGGATCTGTAGCGTGCTCAGTGCCTGTAAGATCACAGAGGAATAGGAGTCACTGTTCTCATTTAACATTTCGTACCAATCCCCCTGGCAGCTCTGGAAAAGGTGATGGTGATCTAGTTTTTATAAGACAACTGAAATAGCAAGTAAACCAAACAAATTGTAATGGGTCTAGCAATGCAGCAGATCTCCTTTTTTCACAAAAACCAAAAGAACTGCGGGTGCTGTAAATCAGGAACAAAAACAAAGTTGCTGGAAAAGCTCAGCAGGTCTGGCAGCATCTGTGAAGGAGAAAACAGAGTTAACGTTTTGGGTCCGGTGACTCTTCCTCAGAACTGATGGTGGCTGGGAAAACGTCAGTTTATATGCAGTTTATATGGGGTAGGGAGTAAATGATAGGATACAGCCCAAAGAGAGAGAAAGACAGTTGGACAGATAAAGGGGTTAAGATTGTTTCAGAGGTAATAGGAACTGCAGATGCTGGAGAATCTGAGATAACAAGGTGTAGAGCTGGATGAACACAGCAGGCCAAGCAGCATCAGAGGAGCAGGAAGGGTCTGAAGAAGGGTCTAGGCCCGAAACGTCAGATGGACAGATAAAGGAGTTGCTAACGATCAGGCTGGGAGGGTGAATAGTTATTAATGGGGACGGTTAGTGACTAACAAGACGGGGTGAGTAATGGCAGGCTATGTGGTAACAAGGCCTGGTGTGTGGGGTGAGGGGCTGGGACATCAGAGAGTTTAGGCCCTAAAATTATTGAACTCAATATTGAGTCTTTTTTGCGAGCAGAACGTAGATGTTCAGACACATATTTCCCTCCCCTCCCTTGTCCACCTTCCACAGGGACCGTTCCCTCTGGGATACCCTGGTCCACACTTCCTTCACCCCCAACACCTCCCCACAGCCCTGCGGCACCTTCTCCTGTAACCGGCGAAGGTGCAACACCTGCCCATTTACCTCCTCCCTCCCCTAGTATCCAAGGGCCCAAACATACCTTCCAGGTGAAGCAGCACTTCACCTGCACTTCCTAGAATCAAGTCTACTGCATTCACTGTTCACAATGTGGTCTCCTCTACATTGGGGAAATGAAGCGTAGACTTGGCGACCGTTTCGCAGAACATCTACATTCTGCTCGCAACAAAGACCCCTAACTACCTGTTGCCTGCCACTTCAGTGCACACTGGCCAACATCTCTGTCTCTGGCTTGCTGCAGTGTTCTAGTGAAGTCCAACGCAAGCTGGAGGAACAACACCTCATTTTCCGCTTGGGGACCCTACAGCCCTCCGGACTCAATCTGGAGTTCAATAATTTTAGAGCCTAAACTCTCTGATGTCCCAGCCCCCACCCCACACACCAGGCCTTGTTACCACATAGCCTGCTTTTACACACCTCCTGTTGTTAGTCACTGACAGTCCCCATTAACAACTACTCACCCTCCCAACCTGATCGTTAGCATCTCCTTTGTCTGTCCAACTGTCTTTCTCTCTCTTTGGGCTCTATCCTATCGTTTACTCCCTACCCCACCCACCTCCCTATTTTCTGCATATAAACTGATGTTTTCCCAGCCACCATCAGTTCTGAGGAAGGGTCACTAGACCCGATATGTTAATTCTGTTTTCTCCTTCACAGATGCTGCCAGACCTGCTGAGCTTTTCCAGCAACTTTGTTTTTGCTCCTTTTTTTAATAAATTTATTCATGAGATGTGGGCATTACCATTGAGAAGAAGCTGCCTTCTAGAACTGCTGCAGGCTATTTATCATTAGGGAGGGATCGCCAGGATTTTAATCCGGAGACACTGAAGGAATAGTGATATATTTCCAAGTCTTGATGGTGTATGGTGTGAAAGGCAACTTGCAGATAGTGGTGTTCCCATTTGCTGCCCTTATCTTTCGAAATGGTAGTGGCCATGGGTCTGGGCGGTGCTGTCCAAGCAACCATGGTGAATTTCTACAGTGCATCTTGTAAATAGTACACACTGCTGTGACTGAGTGTCATTTGGAAGAGGGGTTGAATATGTGTGGATGTGGTGCCAATTAAGTAGGCTGCTTTGTCCTGAATGGCTTTAAAAGACTGTTAGTGAGCTGGTTGTGGTTTTACAATAATCTGATAGTTTTATCATCGTCATTACTGAGGTATTTGAATGTAAATTCCTAAACTACCAAGGTGGGATTTGACCTCATATCTTTGGATCATTAATCCAGACTTTGGGATTATTTGTCTGTAACATAATTGTTATGTTATTATAGCTCCATTTAGTGGAGGCATGAACTTGGCCACTGTTTGATTATGGCTGGGAATTCCGACACTTAAACTGGACTCCATTGTGGCTCACTTGGTCACACTTTTTCCGCTAACTTGCAAAATCCTACATTTAAGTCCGAACTTTAGGGCTTGAGGGGAAAAAGTACTGTTGTTTCAGCTGCAGGTGATCTTTTGGCTCTCAGGTGAAATGATAAGTCAAATCCCAATCTGCCTACCAGAAAAAAGCTGCAGAGGACTAGTCCCTATTCTTCTAGCCAATATTTATCCCTCTACGAACATCACAAAAACCGATTATCTGACCATCACATTACTGTCTGGGAGTTTCCTGCGTGTATAATTGCTGCTGTGTATCTTACAGTACAACAGTGACTACATTTTAAAAGTACTTTGGCTGCAAAGTGTTTTGAGATGTCTAATCGTGGAAAGACCTTATAATATTTAAATGGTGAGTTTTATGATTTAGTTATTAGCATTCCTGTTGGTTACTATCAAACATCAGAGCAAATGGTTTAAAACAATGCTGTCTTTTTCACATAAAGACATGCTGATTTATATTGCTGACTATAATATAATGAATCTAAGAGAGTTTGTACTATGAGAGGGTTTAAACAAGTAAGTGCATGCATTTCATGAACATGGGTTAAGTCCATTTACTTCCAGTCAGGAATCTATGTTTCTGTATGTGTGAGGCAGCTGGACAATAATGTACCCTTTATTTCAAAAAATGAACAAAGTTTTATCCAAGTTAATTTCAAGCCTGGCTCCCAGGAGTTTATAAAATCAAGTTGCATTTATATAGTGCCTAGGTCCTTAACAGGAGCAATTTTAAACAAATTTGAGATAGAGGAAAACAAAGTGATATTAGGGCAGATGACCAAAATCCTGATCAAATAAATTGTTTTAATTAATTTTAATGGAGAAGTGTGTGTTGGAGAGGTTTAGGGAGGCAATTGTGTAGTTAAGATCCAAACAGTTGAAGGCATGACTGCAAATGGACCGCTTAAAATCAGGAATGCGGACAAGGCCAGAATCGGAGCAGGGCAGATATCTCAGAGGGTTGTAGGGCTAGAGGACATCACAGTGGTCAAGAAGGGCGAGGCTATGAAAATATTTTTTAAAAGGAATGAGAAACAAAAAGACGCATTCAACCATGGCTTACACAGCATCTTCTGATAGGATAGGGACACACGTTTGTTTTTTTACAAAGACTGTTTTGTAACACCGCCGGTAAAGTACAAAAGAACAAGAATGTAATACATGTTATGGCAGAGAATAATTTCCTCATGATCACTGCTCATTTTTAACAAGTTCTTCAGTCTGTCCCTGGGAATGAGTTGATCTATCAATCTGCACTCACAGTGATAAAATCTCTGGTGTTTCAAATAACATGAATGTTTACTCACCATTTTCACCAGTTTGCCACTTGCTTTGTGCTGTGAGGACAGAATTGCCAGCTGTAGTATCATAGAAACATATAGTGCAGAAGGAAGGCTTTTGGCCTA